ATAGGTAGACTTTGGACATGGAAAATCTCGATTGACCGACGGACCTTGAAGTCTGAGATTGATTTCTTCCGGGATTAGTGGGCCTTGCTGAACTATTTGCCCTGACGCCTGGTGTACACGCAGACATGGATTAATTGCAAGGGAAATGTATCTATCCATCATTGCCGTATATCGTCATGGAGCAAACGACTGCCCTAATAACATCCCTCATCTGTCAATGTTGTTGCATGGTGTTGGCTAGGTGTGATGGTGATGCCATTAGTGTTAGAGAATTCTAATGAGAACGACAGCGAGCTGACTAGTTTTGATATCAGATTAAGTCCATGTCGTGCAGGAGTGTCATCGTTCACGTTCTGTGTTCACCTTTTGGCCGATGTGAAATACCAGAGAATTACCAGCCAGGTGCAAATAGGAAATAGAAATAGCGAACGATCTATATTACTGCGGAAGTTGGAACAAATAAGCCGCAATGAAACCTGCGACCTCGGTTGGTGTGAGGTCGATGATTGATGCCAAGATGGCACAATCATTAGCTATATAGCTCAGACCAGTAGTGATGAGAAATGTCAACAGCGTGTCCTGTAGAAAGATGCAATCTGTGGATATATACCAGGCGATTGTGTTGAAATTACAGTAGCAGACGCCACTGATTGGCTTCTAAGCACAATAATGTTCCTGGAAAAAAGTGGCATCCACAGTGCGTCACTGGTTTTCTAATTTAAGCCTCGTTAAATTTTTTTTTAGCAAGGAGCATACATTTTTATAAATAGGCCTATCCTTAACGCTCCGAAACATTTTCTCCTTTCCATGAAAAGAGGCTTTAATTAATTCACTTATATTTCTGTAAGCTATTTCTGTGAGTGTATTTTCTTGTATTGATGTACATGGATCTGCAAAGGAAATTATTGTAGATTACAAGTGAACGTATTGCAAAGGGCTCACTGTTGTTAGTTGATTTTTCTTTCGACAGCAAATTGAGAATACGTCAATGTATTGATCCACCCCAGAATGTGTACCAAATGAAAAATTTGAATTGGTATCAATTATTTCATAAACATGCATGATGGGACAATTGGTGATAATTGGTGTAAACTCCCTTCCCGACACTTTGTCGTAAACCATTGAAATATAATAACTGATTGTTTATTCACACCGTTTTCCACTTGTATTGTATTGTTCTTACATTTCAGTCAATATACATGTTAAAATCACTTCATTTTGTTCACAATGAAATGTTAAATAATTGTATACATTCTTTCACTCCAACCATTCTTTAATCGGTGCTAAATACATGCCTTGTTTGTACATCATCTTCACGCTACCGTAAATTATTAATATACCGTAAATTATTAATAATTTCAAACTTTTTTGAACTATCTACAGAATCATATTATATAGTGTACATGAAGATAAACCTGGATGTTTATCACACACACCTGTTCGACGATGAAAAAGAGGCGAATATATTATTTGCAATAGAAGTATTTACAAAAGTTAGAAAATTTTACCTTCGCCACAAATTCTTATTTGAAATCTGAAGAAAAAAACATCCCCGCCCAAATCCCGAACTCCAAATAATAATATGAACTCCTGATAAACGTCTGTTTTGAACATTTTAGTAATGAAAATAATTAATGACTTTTAAATTACATTGTATTTACAAATATACAGTTAGGGTATATACACAGAAATGAATATCAGTTTCTATTGTAGACACTAAGAAGGGGTGTCGGAAACGCTCGTTATCACTAATAATATACTATTGAGTTCTATACTGACATGACATCTATATTTGAAAAATAAATACCGGAGATGTAATACTCGAAGTACCCCAGTTAAGCACCAATATTACACTGTCATTTCAGAATTAATTTATACCTAACTCCAACACGATGAAGACAAAAAGAAAAGACAGACACTGATCTGTTCCAGTGGCTTAGACCACCGAGTCCCTCATTGGTTAAATCCAACCTATAAGCCGCGAATCCTATGTTCGCTGACAAGGAAAATGATTGGACGTGTGCAGTCTGGCACATGCATGCAAGAAAATGAAGGAATATTGTCAAACTACCCGCACTTGTAATTACTTTGACATTTTCTAGACAGGTACTCACACCTATCAAAACCCGAGTGCTCATAATAAAGAGTGCACATGCACTATAATATATTCCGTCATTGATCTGAAGGTACAACTTCATACTGAATTTACATTTCAACATACGCGTCGAACTCAGAGAGTCTCCATACAAGAGAAGTCTATTCCTACAGCCAACAAACAATTGTTGTTTGCATGTTATCGCAAAATATTATACCTTTTGAGTTTGTATTACACCTAGGCCTTATATCACTCTAGTACCACCGCCTGCGATTATACAGAATGCTACCGTTCTTGTACACCACGTTACACGAGTGATTACAAATTTCGCATTATGAATAATCCAATACACGTTTACAATTGCGTTTTGGTTTTAAACGATCAAGATATAACATGGAGGTGACTAATGATATTCTACCCTGCTGATTATTATTGATTGTTGATATTGTTAAAATGCACACTAAACACAATATCAGCAGGATAAGCTATAACCGTTTATATTAACACCATCATACGGCTAATCTTTACGAAATAAGAGACTTGCACTACATACAGTCTGGAGAATTGATTAAATATGGACGCAATGGGTCAATAATGCACAAAGATACATAGACAATCATTATTCAAAATGGCTACGGTGCAATAGAAACACAGCAAGGTTTACACTATTTATTAGGGTTAGGGTTAAGCTTATTTGAAGCCAAAATTTTCTCGTATATTGGACTAACTGAGACCTATAGTAACAAGCAACGTATGTGAAACCTTTTTTTGTACAGTGAGCTGGCCAGTGTCTGGTTTTGAGCTTTCAGCTTGTTTTCTAATTTTTTTATTACGACTTTCTCTTTGCCAAAGTCATAATGCCAACTGTAGGGCTATCTGATGGACAATGAAATATAAATTACGGTATGTTTGCGGCACGCAATACTATCTTCAAATTAAATGTTAGAAGATGTTTTTATTTGTTTTCAAACATTTAAGTGTTGGGACTTTATCAAACACTGAAAAATTGCCATGGGTTAATTTTACCCTAGAAAGGGTGAAAACTGGAACTACCCAAACTTGGGTTGTTCTATAACCAATTGTTTGGGTTAGAATTTGTGCTAAATTCAACCAAAACTTGTGGTACAGACCAAATTTAAATTTGGTCTTGTATGACTACAACTTTTGGTTCGCTTCCCGGACAAGATCTGTTCACTGATTGGCTAACAGTTCAAAGCGCCCTCTAGCTAAAAGTGCATTACACATTGTACGCCCGCTGTCGCTCATTCTCTCTATCTCTCATTTCACACGCCCTCTGTACGTACCCCTCTCAGCCTCACATGCAGTCTGTCACTCACATCCACAGGTCATCTCCACTCTGTTCACCCTTTTGTGTCATTTGTCCAGTTCGTTTGTTTAATTATCTTATTTATTTTTTTGCAGAGGATCTGCTTGTTTTTTATCCGATATTTTGTTTACCACAATCAGTTGCCGCAAATGCAAATCAAACCTGGAAGTGAAAGGAAAACAACCATCGTTCCCGATGGGTAAACGTATTTAAAACGCCAATTCTATAGAACACACCAATTGGTGAAAAGGAGGCCGAAGCGTCTTTTTTTCATTTAAAGGACCCATACAATGAATTTTTTTAATGCAATCCTTGAAAATGCACCTTTGTGTCCCATTCACTCACATTTAACCTTATTTTCAATTTTCGTTTTGCCATTTTCATGCTAATGAAAATTTCCATATTCATGAGCAAAAGTGTGATGCCATTTCGGGCAGAGACCTCAATGTTAAAGCTACTTCACCTCAAAAAATTGATAGAATTTGGATATTTTGCTGTCACAAATTGTCTTTTCTTGCGTGATTCATTTTGTGCAAGTACATGGCAGTAAGCTAATGAGCAACCCTTTCTCAAACATTATGTTTTCAATTAGCAAAGTTTGGGTTCACAATTTAAACAGAAAACTGAACAGTGTCTTCCTGAAATGACATCACAGCAACAACCCACTAAGTTGTCCATAAAAGTATGGACCATTTTTAAAGTGTAAAAAGTGCTCTTTTCAATCAAATTAACCAAAAAGGAATGCCAAATAGTTTTCACACATTTAAGAGAAGTAGAAAGTTGCACAATGTGTTCCCAAGAATCGGATGGACTCTTTATTTCGAAAACAGCTCATTTTTGAAATTTCTTAATGAAAGCGGCAAACAATTTTGCTTTTTGGCAAAACTGCACGAAAAGTTAACTCGTATTCATCATACTTGCAGAAATTGCAGACTGTTTTCAGTACGAAATTCTTTCTGTTTCAATATAGGCCTTTTATCTCACCCAATACCTGTCTGATATCTCCTCAGCACTTTCACTTTCTTCACCCGTTTTTTTTCCTCTCATCGCTACCCATCAACCAATAATACTGCGGTTTACAAATTCACAAATATTGAAATATGCGACACTAGACACCCACAGAAATAAAATCCAATTATAGAAAGTCACGGTATTTGTAATACGATTCGTCGGCCGGGAATAGATTGTTTTTTAACTTCAATAGAATAACGGTAATTAGCTGCCAGCATGTTTTTGAAAACCAGTCATAAATTTCCCCTTTAATAATAACCTTTTCTCTCAGTATGTGTAGTATAAAAAAACGGGTATTGACAACTTGAACTTGGATGGAAATGGTCCGGTAATTATTATTCGCGATAGTGCTGTGGCCTCGTGGTTAAGGGCACTAGATTCGTGGTCTGTGGGTAAAGCTGCGGGTTGTGGGTTCGAGTCCAGCAAGGCACTTTGTAACTCATTGCTTCTCTCCACCCAGGAGTAAATGGGTATCTGTGAGGGCAGAGATGGTTATTGTGATTGAATAAGCTTGCTTGCGCCTAACAGGCTGCATCGAGCTGTATACTCCTCAGGGAGCTGAGATGGTATTTGGAATGTTTAATTGGCCCCATGATCAGGGGTAATAATAATACTGTGAGCGAGGTGATTTAATTTACTAATAAGATCGTTCTTAAATGTCGATTATTATTATTATAGGACGACTATGTATTGTTATTATTGTTATCATCGAAACATACCATTTAGTTAGGAGACATTCCCATAGACTTGTGCACAATTTTGTCCAACTTTCCTGACCCCTATACCCCAATTTCCCTTATCCTACCCCCACTAATTTTGGTGTTGTTACCGATTGGACCACGAGCAATCGATCTCCTGTTGGCGACAATAATGTTTGCCTCTGTATAGGAGCTGAGGCATTAGGGAGAAATCCCTAATTCCACATGTTTTCTAAAGGAATAACTCTGGCGCTAAAGTGTCTCCAATATGGTATAATTTACGATAGTAAAATTTATTATTATTATTATTTCTTTTTATATTAAAGATGGTCTTGTTCATTTCGGTTGGCTTTCAACAACGAGGGAAAGATGCACCACTTATGGTCCAAGCGTTCTTCCCATTTCTGATTTACTTTTCCTTTGAACTTAAAGTTCGTCGCTCCATTCCATCAAAATATTCGTCCATTTCTCTGTTTTCCAAATCTCATGTACACAAACAAGACACTCATCTCTCCGTTAAAGATTCCGACGAAAAGGTTTTATTTCCAAAAGTCGGGGCAGCATTAGGAACTTTCTCGATTTTTCCTGTCGTTAGTACCTGACAGAGAGACTGAATCGAGTTGTCCTGGAACGGCCACTCCTGATCGAATTCGCTGAGGCCACTCCGGCGTTGTGTTTGGACGGCAACCGGCAGAACAGAGCCTTCCTGTACTTGGAGCTCATCATGTACATAACGAACGGATTGCAGCACGAGTTGGCGATGGCAGCATAGTAATGCATTTGACGCAGCGCATCCCGGGCCGGGTTAACAACCACGGGACCACTGCCAAGGATCTGCCAGAAGCGGAATACGAAATACGGCATCCAGAAGACAGCGAAGGATACCGTGATCAGGATAAACATGGCCGCCCGGTTACGACGAATCCGGAACTGTTTGAGAAGCGACCGATTGACCTGCTCCCCGGAGAACTTTCTGGTACTCTGTACGAGCTTGATGATGACTAAGATGTTGGTGTAGGCGATAAGACCCAGTGGGATGACGTACAAGAAGCAGGCCCAGAAGACAACGTAGACCTGAGAAGCCGTGGTTTGGTGAGGGAAGGTACAGTAATGGTTGAGGCCTGATGGGGTCGGGTCGAGGGTGGTTATAAAGAGAGTCGGTACGGCGATACCAATGGCTGTCAACCACTCAGTGAGTATCAACACTTTGGTGAAGTTCCTCTCACCTTTCTTCATTACGATTCCCAAGAATCGACCCACGCTGAAGGCAGTGATGGAGTAGACGCACACGCCAACGGCAAGGGTCTCACCGAACCGATAGATCTTACAGGCGACGCTACCAAACTGCCAGAAAGGGTCGATCTCGTGTTCGATCTTGATCGGTACCGTCAGGAGCAGGAAGAGAAAGTCTCCGATGGCAAGCTGGATGATCAAGGCGTTGATTTGAGACTTGCGGAGCTCTCGATTGAGCAGGATGACTACGATGATGCTTGCGTTGCCCAGCAACCCTACGATGGCTACCACGGCGTAGATGTCAATCACGACCCAGTCAAAGTCGGGCTCGATATAAGAGTCGTTGCCGTAAGCGTACGATCCTTCGTACTCGTCATCCTCAGACATGTTGCCTGCTGATAATCAAATGCTCCGTGGAGTGTCAATTCGTTAACTTCTCTCTAGATGCCCTGAAATAGGAAGATAGAAGGATATTTTAGTCAATAAAGATTCCATGATATATCAACCGCACTTGGTTATGAGGCAAGTGACGCCTGTACCGCAACTAGTACCACAACTAGTGAAGTAACTAATGGGTAGGGGTACAGAGGGCGTCCCCCTTCGCTCGAGGCCTGCTTAGATTTGGCCATGTGCAGTGAGTTTGGCTGGTCACAGAGGGCCAGCCTAGTATCCTCTTTGTACCTATCTCACTGACTGACTGACTGACTTGTATGCTGGACAGGTATTCGGCCCATTGTGTAGACCAGGTGCATGCTGGAATCAATTGAATATAATTTGGCGCCCTCTGGGACCGGCTTTACTGGCTTGCCTAGTCTTGTTTCGGACGCCTCGCACTAACACAGACCGTCTTGAAAGGGTTTCGTGAAACGGAAACCGTTTAACAAGACACTACAAGACACTGATATTCAGTGAGTGTTACGGAGCATAAAGGTTGGTAACCCTTCAACTGAGAAGGTTACGTGTAAAGTTAATGTGAGAGTATTGCACGCCTTGTAAATAAATGTCGGGGAGGGCTGGGTTTCGGACATGTTTGGCGCCGTTCCTAACAATTAGTCTGGCCATATACTGGTGTTAATTCCAACTCGAATCCATCTTGATTTATGAAAGATGTCACAGTTTTTGAGAAAGCGCAAATTAATAGTGCGATCAGTAGTAGGCTACGATTGAAAGCCAGTGGCAGATGGAATATTCCGCCAGCACTCGCAATTTCCTAGCTTCGGAAGGGAAATGAAAAGAAAATAATAGCATGCTCGCTGGATAACGAGCCGTGTATCAAGAACATTTCCTTTGGTGGCAATCACTGTGTACCTACCCGGGCCATTCAACATGCAATTTTTATATGTATGGCGAATGTTTTATATCTATAGACATATTTTTTTTGTTTACAGACTATTTCAAATTGACTGGCTGAACTGTACTTTAACTCTCCCAAGCAGTGCTGCATTTCACACAAATATTTACAGTGCGCCTGTATTTCCAGACGGCATTGAAGGCTATTGAAATTCGCATTTACAGAAGTCGTTGCCTGAGGCGTTTGGCTGCCCATGAATAATGCACTTAAGAATACTTCACATCTTGGAATAATAATTGAATCAATAATAATTTGCTATGCGCGTTTGCAGTTGATACACACGGACGACAGGTATTTTTTGAGATCTGACGACTAAAATCAATGCTCTATAAATAAATACACAAACATATCAATGTTAATTTCCAGTTGTACGGATAGTCGTCAAGATTTAATTTCCTGCTCCAACCGAGGATACGTTTGTTCTTTGAGGAGAGCACTCAGACGTGCTTTCTCTAAGTAATTTCAGGTACACTGGTCGGAAAAATTTACAAGTGGAAGTAGAAGCGTCACGAAGTCCTTCTCAGTTGATTTAATGATTTGCCACTGTTGATTTTCGAACTGTCAGTCCGGATTCGTGCTCTCAACGTCTGGTTTACTAACGTCGTAAACATCCCAATTGATTCTCCAGTCTCTTACACGAGTAAGACAAATCGCACGGTTATTTGCAGACAGAACAGTCCGTCAGCAATAGAATTACAGTGTTGTTTACCCTACCAGGTCTAATCACCCCGATGACATCTGCGCCTTACTTATTGAACAAACTGGGAAGTCTTAATCTTGAAGCCGGCGTGTTTTGCGCAGAAACACGGCTTATGTACGATGAGAAGCAATCGTCGCGTTCTGATTACGATTAGCGATGACTGACCACCGAATGGCAGATGCAGTGGAATCACCTACAGGGTCCGTCTGTTGTCAATGCAATTACTTGGTGAATGTAAACTCAGTCTTCTCCATAATGTACACAATATACTACTTATTGCGTGAAGAGCTCATGGCACGTTCTTACAGTATTTAGTGTTGTAGGGCGCTTCCGTATTCAATGTTGTATGAGTATAATTTATTTGACTCTTCTGAATTCAGAAATCCCCTTTGAAAAAGGGCTCCTTGATTTGTCTCGCTTTTTTATGCGAAAGGATTTATCAATCAGTGTATCTGTTTACAAACGCTTGCTCGGAAAAGTAGACCTTTCATGTTTCATTTTGCAAGAATCCGGAAACCTGAAACAGATTTCATGTCATCGTAGCTGGTCAAGTTGCAGATTTACTGCGACAGTGTGATCTCAAGTGTGGACTTAAAGACATCGATGACTGAAGATGGGAGACGAGTTGACGCTACTAAGGGTACTTAGACGGTGCATATGCTAATGGTTGAGTGAACATGGACAAAATGCGATATACGCTAATTGGAACATTGAAAATTCATTTTCTCGGAAGATGGATAAATATGTGTCTTCCTAATCGCTTCAATTTCATTTGGATTGTCTTCCGAGATGTCATAAACGAGTATCAAGGAAGGACTAACGAGAAGTGCAGATGATTTCGTCTTCTTGAGGTCGGTGTAAGCCTCACGGTAATACAAAGCAAATTGGTGACGTCAACGTCAACAAAAAAATAATATTCGCACTGCCAATTCGCGACAGTTGCACATAAATTATTTTGACCACCGCAAATGTTTCGTGACTATAATATAATACCTCATTTAAACCACATCGTATTGTCCCCGCCTGACATTAAGTATATGATAACATGTAAATATCAGCACGAAACAGCCGTTGTGTTCCCATTTGTAGCTGATAATCCCTTGTTTGTCGACGTGACAGTTTCTTGTGTGGATACATTCATCACATAGCGCAATTATTGGCTATGTTGCGACATGACGCATTAACCAAGTTGCTTCTGTGTCTGTTGGCCCATCCTCCATGGTTGGCCTATGGCATTTTACCATGCATAATGACATTTTCTTTTACAGATAATATTAATAAATTAACGAAAGTATAATAATATCCTGGCAACATTTTGTCATTTAAATATGCTTTATGCAGATACATCAGCATTAAACCACCACTTGAAATGCCAATGGAAAAAGGTGCATATTGGTACAAATTTGCATTCCCGTTAGAGTACATTCCATTTAAACTTAAAAAAAAAATACATAGAAGTGGATAAGAATATGACTTCGTCGAGAAATTGAAGTCATAAACACAAGGAACTACTTTCACCGTCAAAGTAATTTCAAAATCTTTAATTGCCAGCTTATGGTGCTACATTCGCAGGCCCCGCTAGAAATTGCCTTTTTCATGGTCCGGTAACCGTAGACTCGTCAAGGCGCGATTAATCCATCAAAGACGGCCCATTTGGGAGTTGCCGCCCGGAGGACGACAGTTAATAAATGATAGCTGGGGGAGGGGTGGATGTTTCAAAGAGCCTTCGGATTACAGGTACTTGACAGAGCGGAAGCCGATCCCTTCCGAGACCAAAAACTCGACATCATGGAATGAGCTGAGGTGTGAAACCCAAATGAGTTCCGTCCCTATGAAGTAACCCGAAAAAGTAGCCGTTTTTTGAGGGAGATAAGATTCTTGCGCTGCTGATTCTGAGCATTTTGATGAAACTTCGCTTCGATAAAACAAACATTTGCCAGTAAATAAGGACGTGTGCCAACGGCTTCACTGTATCATCTCAGCGTATTTATGCAGAAACTTATTTGTTTTTACTTTAAATATAATTCAGGGTGAGTTAAAAAATATGTCCCTTTGGATTAAGTCCTTGCTCCCACAAAAACGGGAAAGGTTACCAGTTTTTCTCTTCTGCAAACATTTGATCTGGGACCGGGTGCATGTGATACATGTACCGTATTGTGCCATTTTTTCCCACTCACCCTGTACATCGTTCCAAGCAACGATGCACCAAGACTTTCTTTTCGAAGTATTTCTCTGACGGGTAAAGTAGCAGGGAAAATTATACATAATCCACAATTATGCTTGAGTGCAATATACACAATGCTTGCTGGATCAGCTTGTGGGTTTGCTGAACGCTGCACCAAGCGCTCCAAGCACACACAACAAAGGAGAAACGACATTTTAGGTCGGTTTCAGAAATTTGACATTTGCAGAGCTGTCGTTTAATCAAATCACATTCCGAGGTATGCTGCAGACATAACCTATAGTAATAACAACTGCAGAGGTCATGCGCGGAAATGACAATCGCATTTCTAGGATTTTTTTTCTCTTCAATCAGTGTTTTTTCCCCCGCGCAACGAAGTGAGCGCGGCAAAGCGAGGGATAATTCGACAACACTTGTTTTTCTTTCAATCTTTAAGATATCGCTCTAGGCAGAAAAAGAATCAACTTCCAATTCAAGGCGGCCAATTCGTCAGATCTTGCACTTTGGGTTTTTGGAGTGATATTCCGCCGAGGGTTTTTCTGTTTACTGATGTCTCGATCATGTCTCCGTCCTGAAAGTCTTCTTGTTGTTCCATATTTGTCACGGAAAGCCTGCTCTTGTCTTCCGGTTCGGCTTATTTCCCCCCCCCCCCCCTCTTTCTCCTCGGATGCCCCTGTCCGTTGGCCCTTGATGCACGCAAGACACGGCGTTCTGCTATGCAAACACGGCAGGCTGAGAGAGTTTGTCAGTGGACAGTGAATGTAGCACGACTTAGCCCGCACTCTGCTCATCATTAAAATTCAAATTTTGTTGTTTGAATGGGCTAGGCCTACCATTTTCCCGATCTGAAAGCGAGCAACCGGAAGCCCATTTGATGAATGGACTGCACGCACGATATACGACTCATCCATTAGGGCCGTCAACCATTTAGCCACTTTTCATGTGGGACTACAATGCTACCGTGACCCATTATGATCAAACACGATGAAAATCTTTGTATATTTCCAGATTTTGTGATTTTGGTCATTAATTTTAGTCGTGAATTATTTTCTGGATGATTCATACTCTAACATTCCAGCTTTCTTTTTCAAAACTAATATTTTTTTACTTTACCACATTATCATTTCTTAGCCGTAAAAACATGTAAACAGCTTTAATCCATTTTCTAACGTCATTAATGCATCCTTTTAAATTTGAATTTGAAAAAATATATTCTTCCGCCAACCAAATAACATCCAGCTATACACGCAGTTTCAATATGATTTGAGAGGTCGCATTACCCAAAGTAGATGGCAAGTCGACCAAGTCGATGGGAATTTAGCAAGTGCCGCGTGAAATTCAGACAATTATAAATGACCCCTTCCCCGACCGCTTATAGCGTTCGTCTCAGAACTTCAGGTCGGTTGATATATTGATAGTTCGTGTCAGGGTTTTTCGTCGTAATTTCCGAGTAAAACAGTTTTGTAACGAAATTATGTACCAAAAATCTCGATGAGCATTCGTCTTATCGATCCGTAGGATGACCTTTAAAAACTTTATCTTCAAGTTGGAGGGTTTAACCCAGTTTGACCGCAGAAAATCACGTATTCGTCTCTGGACACGCCGTCATCCCCTTATCGATCCAAATCCTGTCTGCCTAGAGTTTATGGAGCATGAGTAAAAATGCCGATGGCATATGGATGATCCTTGACCCAAAAAATCTCTTTAGAACTGTTCTATTTGTTGAAGAGAATTGTGCCCGCTTTTTCTTCATGGTGACTGATCTAACATTGCAGAGTATTTTCATATCTGTCATCTGATAGCAGATTTTCAGGGCCGGAGCAACATACCTTATTTTACGAGGCAAATAAAAAACCATCAACGCTATAAACCACAGGAATCAGTCCAGAAGTGTCTTACTTCTTAAGATGTCTGCGCCGAATATGCCATGGCTTAAAAAATCAAAATAATGAACTTGATACCTCTTCTTGAAGCCTTAGATATTACCTGGAGTGTTTTTCAGCGGGTCGGATTACATTTTTGAATCCAGTTGGGCTTGTATTAACAAACAACCGACCAAAATAACTCTTTTTGATTGCGCCAAGTTCTGTTATTGTATTCGCTTCATTCAATGCGAAATCTCAGGAAATGTCAGGCTCGGAGTAGCTCTTCGTAATTCGTAGTGACTATGCCTTATATCTCATTGGGCCGGTACAGCTTAATTGTCGACATGTAAATTACATTTTGTAGCCATTCAGCAATCCTTTCAAGTATATCGAATATTGGGCTGTATGCCTGCAAGGTCAAACCTGCCCTCCTTGGTGCTTTTAAAGTTATTAATCTCACAGCAAAAGGAAGGAGAGCAATTCCCCACACAGATGTTCTATATAAGCAATTTCAACTTACTGAAAAGCAGATATTTAACAAAATTGTCAGATATACACATGCACTGGTAATACAATTAAGTTTAGCGTGAGCTATACCCGCTGGGGCATTCTCATCTAGATAATAGGTTTACCGATACATGCCTGATTTCAAGAGCGACAGTCACTTCAAGGCAATATCGAGTATACGTCCATGCGGCAGGTATAACAATTTATAGTATATTTCCACTGTTGGAAGATGTAGGCAAAAAAACCCAATCTGTTTGCATTGTGTGCCTGGCAGAACGGCATGCGCATACGCCCTTACGCGCGAACGCGTAATCACCAAAAAGTTTCCAGCAAAAGGGCATACGCAGAAAAAAAGCCTCTATCTTAATGAAATTTAAACAGCAATGGAAATTTACACAAGTTGTTCAAAAAATTATGATTCATATAATATGTGACAAATTTATAATTCGAACGACTTATAATACGCTTGGGAGAACATTGGATTAATAATACGCGTGCATGAACATTGCTGCTTTTCAATGCAATATTCTTGCCCTTCTGCGCGCTGCCGGGGCACCCGATTAGAAAACGGTCGACAAACATTGAGAGGGTAGAACTTGTTACGTCAAGAAGTGTACATGGTTCTCACTGTTAGGAAAGGCAAAACAAACCCTCGTGCGCATCGGCGCTCTGTATCAAATTCCTTGTCGGAAAAAAACAACACCTTCGGGTAGTTTTTAAACATATCTCAACAATCTGGCAGACGTTGCCGTAAGTGGACCACATATAGACTTACCCCTTCTTGCCGTCGCGTATCGACCTACATATTTCCGGCTGGATATCTTATATTGATCGGCACACAGTGCGTAGAACTCCGTGGGTGATGATACATAGGCTGAGCGCAAGCCCAACGAGTCCGCGTGTGGAGAGTTTGGTAGCGAGATGGGTATCATACGATGACAGCAACTCAGGCAACAGGGTAATAATAATGACAGTGTGGAGCCGAAGCTCTTTATAAGGGACGACTCCGTCACTTCAGTCTGGCTACTGTCATGACTGCGTGACTATAAGACGCTTTCTGATTGGACGCTTATTGAGCGCATCTATTTAACAGCGTTGGCAACATGCCGCTTCCTACCACCGTGCGTGTCACGAATACCAAAACTCTTGGGACATAGTTGTGAACGACATTGTGTGTAGCGACATTAAAGTCTCGTGTTGTTAACAGGTTACACGCTTGCTTATACCAAGACGTGTCTGATTGGCTCATTTAACGTTTTACCCGTGCAACATCACGGATTGTGCCGTTTCCTGATTCAAGACCGAGATTCACATTCTTTGAACATTATCATCTATGGTCTCAACTCTCTCTGGAATACACTAGGCCTAACCTCAAGTGGAACTACCGTATAGTGTCGAGTACAGGCCTACGAAAAACTGTTCACGCAATCGTTCTTAATTCTAAATCGATGACCATTACTGTCCGGCGTATATAAAGTGCATTCCCAGAGGTAAAATGTTAAAGCCTATTTTTTTTCCTATTCACATTCGGACTGTTGCTGTTATTTTCATACCAAACATAATTGATGATTTATATACATACATCAAAATATTTGACTCTACGCCAATTCCCGTTCACCCCCCTCTACAATTATGATGGGAGTACCATATTTAGTGCTTAATCATGTTTTTGCAAAATTATTTTTCACAATCTGACAAACTGCAATTCAACGAAAGAATTTAACCATGACATTGGTATTAACTGTTACCTCTTTGTGATTTTCTTGTTGATTTCATATGATTTTCACCGGCAAATATATTGAAAATATCTTGCGATATTTGCGGATACATAGATCTCGCGCGTAAGAAAAATAACCCCAATGATCAGGAATGGTGCGTGTAATTGGATCTCTCTCTCCGTTGATTGCGGCCCACCTCCGGGCAATTTCTGAAAATGGATTTTGTCCCGTCTCGGTGAACGTCAATAATCATTATTGATTTGTTCTCAGTCGGGACTCGTGCAGCATCCCCTTGAGAAGCCAAAAAGGGACTCGTATCCGGCAGGACCAAGTGGCAACATCTCAAAATGCTAGTCTGTCAAAAACGGTGATGAATGTCGCGCCACAGGTCTGCATCTTGAGGGCGGACTCGAGGCCTATTTGGTCTGGGTATCGGGTGGAAAACTACGGGGAAAAAGTCACAAATATAACCGATAGGAAATTTAAGTTGCTGTCTCGACGCAACATCACACAAACGCACGCAAGACGTTTGTACTCATTCACGGTGTCTTACTCGAGTCTTCACAAGTTGGGAAGTCAGTCTCAGATCAAGTCACATGATAGTCAAACGAACTGTTACAAAGGTATATCCCTACTTCGTTTGTTCCTTTAGACCGCAAGTCTTTTTCTCTAAATACATGTACATAATATGTGCGCACATACAGAGAAAGTGAAAGACATGAGCTCCTTGTTCAAAAATACCTTCAGTCACTTGCTTTGCATGAATTTCAACTCTTTGTACCACACGGTCCCGGTATCGAAATAATCCAGGCAAGCAAGGACGATTTTCTGCGGCATTTGATGTGTAATCTTTGCTGTAACACATTTTGTCTGTAATGGAGCGTTTCTAATTTAATTATCCCCTTGTTAAACCACTGGCTCATCCTGCATGCGTTCGACTCGAGGGAAATCAGTCTGAGTATCGATACAATGATCACTTCATACGGAGTTGATCTCAGAACCTGCGGCGAGTGGGTCGTTCAAAGACCGTCCACGTACGCCGCTTTGCTTGCCCGGTTCGCAATGCAGAGTCCTCGTTACATCTTCGTCGATGGGCAAATTGTCAGCTGATGTATACCTTTACCCCTGCCGGAATTTTTGATGCTACGATATTTCATATTAACGTTTCTATCTATCATGGTTTCAAACAAAATAAGGTTGAACAAAGTAAATGATTTGACCGGAATCTGGCGCCATACCGGCGCTCTACCGACCGAGATCAAAAGCCTTATATCGGTGGTCTAGTAATAAGTCAATATCACAGACCTCTTGTTTATTTGATTTATCATATTTCTGAGTAATATCACATCAATTGGACTGAATGTTGACGAAAGCCAGGGTGACATAAAATATGTGTTGCAAATTTAAAACGCCAGATGAAACCTGGATAAGTATAAGTGTTTGTGCGATTTGGTCTGGCAATAACAATTTGCGATAGAAATGTCGTCAATGGAAGTTATTTTGATGGACAATTACAGGATCCCGTCAAGACTGTTACTTCTATTTTACGACAGTAAAGTTGAGCCCCTCATAATTAACGATGGAGAGTGGCGTGATGTCCATATACTACACATGTAATTTGGCTGATTTAGATCGGTATTTAGTGGAATCCGATGTGTCTTCATTTGTATATATGGTTGTCTGGGAAGAGGTTCCCATTTGTGATGAAATGGAACTGTTTGCAATGATCAACGCAACCGTCTACTAACATCTTTTATTTTTCTCAGGAAAAGAAGGCGAAGGAGCAAGGCCGAGCCGTTTGCGGTGCTTAGCCAAGCTCTGTAGTAACCTTGTTTGTTCTTTGCTTTTCACTCGCATGTTCATGGACTCTTCCGCATGCCTTCAGATCTTCAATCAGAATGTTGATACAAGCATATTAGCCTCGATGCCTTCTCCGTAAACACGTTAGATTGCATTACCGCCTGTGGTCAACATGGCTAACACCGTTCTCTTGCATTATTTTCTGTTCTCGCAAGACGGAAGCGAAACGCCTAATAAGCCCTCCACTTGCCGCGGATCAATCGCGTGTTTGCATTTTACTAGGCTGTTATCAGTCTGTGTAAAACGCGTGAACGACGGCCGAACTGAAGAAAATGTCTGGAGGTGGCTCGATAAGTATCGGGGAGAAAAATGTACGTCTCACGGAAGCGTGCTCAAGAGCGCCCCAGGTTGAAAGCACACGTGGCGCGGTGAACATTTTATGAATCCTACAGGGTACGTTTTGTCTTCTGTTTCTGGTGCATGATGTAGTGGCAAGGGTTCTACCTGTTAAAACAGAAACCTAGAGAAACAAGCCTCAGGGCAATTGGAGAAAAACCCGAACGAAAGAGCACTTAGTTTGGGAACTCCATGAAGAGCTTTTTAAGTCCGGTGAAGTGCCAGCGCACGTTGTGTGTAAGAAGACATAACCGCTTAATTATGCGGTCGATTGAATTTGTTTCAACTACCTATTCATGGCTGTGATAAGTCAACATCCTCCATTTGCTCAAAAGATTATCATTGTGGGCAAACATTAACGGGCATATTTTTGGTTAATATATAATAAGATTCGTTGAACAAGAAAGTTAACTTGATAAGTATACATTGAAAACTTGGCGATATCTTTTGGGCCTACTGAGTTTCGACCAACATACAAACAAATCAGTCAAACCCAATCGGGACGACCGCAATACGTGTCGCGACGAGGCTGCTGGTCCCATGTACACCAAGAGTGCATGAGGTGTTGAAAATTGTCTCCTTTAGGGACACCGCCCCTGGAATGCGATCGCTTTGAAAATTGCAAAAAAAAAACAGGCGGATGTAGATTTTTGAGGCGTGACATCGGAAGCTCAAAGGCTAATCGCGTACTTGTTAGAGTTTGGTAAAGTACCGTACATCTATATAAATTAGTTCTTTGAAACGCGACTTGTTCCCAGGATGATCTCGAGCGCACCTGCGTCTATTCCCCTGGCGCCTTCGGGATGCGCTGTGGATCCTAGGTGCGTGGCTACGCATTAATGAGGAGCCTGCGTTTCTCGGGATTGCTGGAAGACTGAATGAATATTGCAAAGACACTTATTAAAATGTATGAAGATTAATGAGATAAGAGTACAGAAGGACGTGTGCAGACTACAGTTGGGCGTGTTACTGAGTAGGCCTAGTGGCAGTTCAATGGCAAGTTAATCCGTTCTAACCTTAAAAACACTGAGAAAAAAAAATCGATTGCATGCAGTATGCATCATTCACTGCACGACGTAAAACTTTGCGTGACTGCAAACTCAATGATCTTCCTTGTGATGGTGATGTTTTTGTTATCTTGAAAATGACTGGAACTTTTGGTCGGATTTTGACGTGGATAAATCCTCAAGCCGGGGATGTTAGCATTTCGAATCAAACATGCTCCGACAAGGTCAAGGACTGGTGGGGCTGCCACCTTAAGGCGTGTCGACACACCTGGGTCGATATGAGAACCCGTTGCTATTATTTATTTATTTATTACAGCGTTAGAGCAGAGTGTTCCAATGGCTCAATCTAGGAATGGCATCGTGTGGTCAGTAATTACGTCAACGTGCCGTTTGATGCACTGAGCCCATTTTCAAGCGATGCCAGCAGGCAGCAACTTGCAACAGTCTTATAACGTACACACCTGTTTGCTACATTCAACGTTGAATTGGCTTGGAGCCTGGAATCACAACTAGTCTGACCCTGTGATATTGTTATCGATATTTCCTATTATATTCATGAACACGTGAATCAGACTTATAAGCTGCGTGGTCTTATGGTTAAGACTGTCGCCTGGCATGTGAAAGGTCCCAAGTTCGAATGGCGAGTTTGCAATTGCGATTTCTTTTTTCCCTTTTAACTTTTATTTCCCTTTTAACTTTTATTAAGTCTATCGGTTTATATAATATAGTAAAAATGGAAATCCATATATAATCACTTGATGAGGTTATCATGACGTCACTCCATTGTTCAAGTTTAATTTGTGCTTGACCATTCACCTATAAAATTGTAAGTCAATGCTGCTAGTAGTTGCATAACATATATATGATGACGTCATTACGACGACACTTGACAACATTCACATGTATAATGCGTCTTGGTTTGTGTCAAGTTTGGGCTTGATCCGATCAAAAACTGTCAAATTACTGAAGCAGGAGAAAAAAAGTAACGTTCAAAAATTCGTTAAAAATCAACCGATAACGTC